AAATGCACTTTACAACTATGATACTTATCTATGCATATAAAGCCTAGAGACAAATTAATATACATACATCTACCCACTTGTTTGCATAGTAAATAATGTAGATATTGCTGATTTTTTTTAAAACCTAGATAGGAAGTGTTTTTTTCTTTTTTAACAGTTTTAATCAATACACCAACTGACATTAAAAAAAATAAATAGACCAACACAATAAATAAAAAGCAAAAGGCCAATCAATGGCCAGGAGCGCAGCTTAACAGCCACTCCTGCAGAAAACTGTCTGAAAAGATGCTTCACGCTCCAAGATCTGCACGATCCACAGCTGCTCACTATTGATTTGTTGAACTCAAAGAACATCTATTATCACATGCCAGTGTGAACCCAGCAATTTCTCTACCAAGTAGCCTGCAATATACAGTTAACAGTATAGCACGGGAGAGCTGTCTGCTGAGGGTACTCGAGACCCCGCATTAATTTCCTTCTTTTTATCCCACAAAGCCAATACAAGTGTCTCATTCCTAAAGCCAGGCAACCAATGTGTGCTCAGGGCTTGTATGCCTTGGTTACCCTACATGTGCATCTCCAGAGCACAAAAGTAATAACAAAATCTGAGAATTGTCTGCAACTCCAAATGTTGTTACAAACATGGTCCGTGGTAAGAACACAGTAAAGGGGAGAGGAAAAATATTTGAAGGAGATTTTTTATGAAGTTCCTAGACACAACAATTTATATAGCTGTGTGGAGAACATAGATTTTGTGCAATGTGGAAGACAGAAGTCAACAGCAAGCTTCCAATGGGAGTTGTACTATCATACAATATGGTAAAGGATTCTAGATTCTCCTGACAATATAATGATGAGAGCATGCTAGAATTTCTCAGGCTCCTGGTCCTGGCTTAAAATTATATATATAGTATGATCTGAAAAGAATGTTTCTGTAAGAACCACTGTGTTTTAGCAGGAAGAAAAGAGGGGCTAATAAGCACCTACCCCTAGCAGGGAAGCCATTGACAATGATAGCTGCTAGGCAGGCTGTTAGGGGAGAGACGATCTGTTTTCTTTAAGGGTCAGTCCCCTGGAGTATTAGCAATACTCTAATCATGCGCTAATGGATAGACCCATGTCTAACCTATAGGAAACACATGGGCAGCACAAACTAGACACACTAAACTATAAGTTAAAAGAGGGTGCAAAGTTGGGAGGGTTTGTAGATGAATTTGGGATGAGTTAGAGGAAGCAGTTGGGCATGAATATAATCAAAATACACTGTATGCATGTATTAAATTCTCAAAAAAATTATCATATTAAAAAGACCATTTTACTAAGTTTCATTTCTTTTGCTGTTCCTTAACTGTATCCTCATATAGAAGTGTTATCAGTTGGGCCTCAAATAATGGTACTGACGCACAGAGAGAAGTCAGCCTCTTGGGTTTGACATTTTCAGAGGAGCTAGAGACTGTCTTCAGAGAATGTTACTTAGCAAATGTCTGTGTCTTTCCATAAATCCCTCATTAACTCAAAATTGCTTCTGATACTATCAAAATGGTCCCAAAGGCTGACTTCAGAGAAACAGTTCCTTGTGATTTTTCCTTTACATAAAGCAGTGGAAGGTCATATCTTAAACTGTGTGAAGCTGTTAGTAAATCAATTATACCTGAGTTTCTCATCATATGATTGCTTTTTCTATCCCACACAAGGGAGTCACTCTTACACACAGTAATAAGCTCCTGAAAATGTGTCACACTTTAACAATGATCACATCTTTGTGAGTTGATATGCACACCACCACACTCATCAACCCAACAAGGAAACACAAAGGATAATGGAATAAAAATGAAAGCCACCCATACTTGCTCTATCAAACCATAGATTAAAGATAGATTAAAGGTTTAAATGTACATCATACTCCAGGAAACAGTATCTATGTGCCAGAATCTCAAAATTATACAGAAAATAAAAACAACTTTGATGAATCTGCAGAGCTCATTAGTGTTAGAACCAACTTTAGAATAAATGATCCAAGACCCAGACACTTATACTTTTCTATAAATCTTTAAACATCACTTGGATATTATCAGCTAAATATCTATTTTGTAAAATATGAAACTTAGCCATTTCCCTGCTGATCAAGTTGCTATTCTTAGGTATACAGTAATAAATTGACATGATTTCTTTTCCACTAATTAAGGATCAATCTGTTTCACCAAAGCTTATAGAAAATGACAGATCAAATTCAAACTTTCCTTTCACCAAATGCTTTTTGTCATTGGATTTTATATCCAGCCAATTCACTTAGCATCATAGAAGCACTGCAAGATATATAATTTATTTTAAGTATATAAATAGGTGGATGAATGGATAAATGATATATAAATAGATGTAGAGATGATACATATACATACATAGATAGATACATAGAAGATACATAAATAATAGAAAGATATAATTAATGCATGGATGATAGAAAGCTAGATAATGCATAGAAGAAATATAATAGATGGAAGATAAATAATAGAAAGATTGAGATAGATACATAGGAGATGATGGGTAAATAGGTAGGTAGATAGATAGATAGATAAATAGATAGATAGATAGATAGATTGATAGGGCAGATTATATATAGATTATAGACAGGAATAAAAAGATATATAGATGATAGATAACTCATAGATAACAGAAATATAGATGATAATGAGGATAGATATATAGATAGATAGATAGATAGACGATAAATAATAGATAAAAATAGGTGATATGTAGATAGGCAATAAAGAAAATTGTACAGAATGTCCACTTTCCAAAAATTAAGTAAAGGCCTTATTTTATTGGTAATGAATATTTTTATTAATTTAGTCAAGATAGGGTTCTGATAACATGTTGGCTACCCAAACAATTAATCATTAAGGGACTCTATCCTCTTCTATATATGGTCTGATTCCAGTACTTCTCTATATTTTTTACCCTTCCTATCTTTTCTTATTAACTTATTTTATCCTTTCTTTTTCTTTTGATCCCTCTCCAACAAAGCTATAGCTTTATTTATGCAATACATGAGCTTATTGAAGACTTTTAGTGACACAAAACAATGATACTCCTCTACTGTTCACATAGACCAAGTTTCATGAATTTATTAACATAAAAATGGCAGAGAAAAACAGAGAGTAAGTTTCACATCAAGGGTATTTATGCAACAAAATAGCAAACTACAACTCTAAAAGCCAAGTTCAATATGGAAAACAATGGTTTATAAGATAAAGTAATGAGGCTGTTCTAGGCACAGCAAACTGGCTCTGATGCTAATTCTAAAGAGAAGATCCTACAAATAATTCAGATGTGAAACATTAGATGAAGGAATATACATTGCAATACTTTATTCACCCTTGTATTTTGACATATTTGATTGCATTTTGTTACAACTTCATAGTCATATCCAATGAGTGCATCTGGCTTCTATGTACTTAACTAGCTCAGTTATAAAAATGCTATGTGCCTTATTTACATACCACCGCCCAGTAACAGAAGTTCTTGTACACTCTCCTAAAGAAGGTAAGCCAAATAGAACGAATGAGTTCTATTTCTTAAGTCTTTCTTATGTCTTCTATAAGCAAAAGATGCATGAATGTTGTTAATAATATAACATCTAAAATACATTTCTCCAAGTATTCATGGTTTGAAACTTATATCATAAAAAGCAATAACATTTTACCAATTCTGGTCCAAATGCTTCATTGTATACCAACAAACTGCTCAAGTTACACTCAAAAATAATTTTCTCTGGGAAAAGCAAAAGCAAATCATTGAAATTTAGAAAGAACCTTTGTTAATCTTTATCCGAATACATTTGACCCATATGACAAAGCAACAAATCAATGACAGAAAAATCCATACGTACCTTAGAAAGGTTGTGCACACCGATGATCATTAGAAAAACTTACTTTTTTGCCTCTTCTGTGTGCAGTCTCTTCCTGGTCATTTTCCCTACCTGCTGTTGGATATATGTGCAATGGTAATACACTTGAGAGGTTAAAGAGACATTACACCGCCAGGGAGAGGAAACAAATGGGTCCTAGTACATCTTTCACAGACAAATTGGAGAAAAAAAGTAAAAGCAGATAGCACAATTCCTCCTGGTACTGGATCGGCCCATAACTATCTGTTTCAGAGTTGAATAGCGTTTCTAAATCATAAATATGGAAACCAGATTCTTAGTAACACTGAAGTACCCGGGAAAAGCAATTGATGCCAAGCCCTTCTGCAGGTATCCTAGCACATAATATTTTCCTCTAGATTGCCAGATTCTCATTTGTTCTCCTTATGATACTAAAGACAAAACTGAAATGGAAATTGCAAGAGATTCCTACACTCATGGTAAAATCCGATTAATAAGGAATCAGGTGAAACTAAGTAGGCACAATGGGATATATATATATATATATATATATATATATATATATATATATATATCCCCCATGAGTACTCCTCAATATGATTTCACTCTTTAATCAAGTAACCTTGTGTACTTGTACTTGTTTTATACCAAATATTCCAATGAGTTTAGATTATAATGTTCATGTCTACTGTGACGGTTGTGTTTAGAAAGATCAGATAATCAGAAGGGCCATCTAAGGTTAGTCAGGTTCTTTTGACAAGATCTTGAATAGGCCATGGTTAGGAAAATGCCACAATAATGAGGTAGAGTGACAAGGTGACAAGTGATAGATACTCATGATATGAAACATCTTCAGTACCATCACTGGGTCACATCCATGAAACCAGTCCTTTCTTAGACCTAAACCAGTGTACCTGCTAGACCACTAAAGGACAAAGTTGTAATCATAGGCACTCTTAACATAAACTAAATATGCTCTGTGTGTGTATCATACATAAAATTAGAAATGTTTATATATAAAGGACAGTTATGTGTATTATTATTTTCTACATTCCCCTTTAAGATTTCCCAGAACCACTTGAAAATATCCCCAGTAGAAAAAGTGTACACTCACGATCATTGCACTGGTTTCCAGAATATGATGTCATGGAGCAGTCACAGGTGAAACCTTCCCACTGCTGCATGCAAACCCCCTGGTTGGCACATGAATCCTCCTGACAGGTTGTACTGGGTCCTGGGAGTGCACAAAAATAGAGGGTGTGGGGAGAGAAAGAGGAATAGGACAAACATTAAAAAAAATAATCAACTAAGATGTCACCTAAATCTACCACCATCATGCCCCGATACATTCAAAAACACAACCATCAAAAATATCAACTCCATCACATGCAACAGAATTCAGTATATACAAAGTATGACAGAAATACATACTTGGTCACACATTATCAATGATTACACAGAAAAGGGAGAGGGCTGAACACATGTTCTCCTTTAGGTAGACTTTGCATAAAAGTTTCATGTTCTATCATTCAACTAAAAGGATACTTCATTTGGAGCAGGGATTTGTCCTTGAATAATGCTAAAGTAAAAAATATGTATTCCCATAATTCTAATTAAATAAAGTACAATGTTTTATTCCAAAACTAAAAGCCCCTAAGTCTGTTCTGTAACACTACAGTGATAAGAAGTATAAAGGAGGAGAAGGAGAAAAAATTAGCTCAAGTGTGCTGTGTCCTATAGGTGTTAAGCAATTTATGTAAATTATGTTATTAAGTCCCCCCAGAAGCACAAATAGATAATTATGATAAACTCCACTCCATAGATTTATAGCAATACACCAATTTACCCAAAGTCCCATATTTCTTCAAGAATGCTAATGCCTACTTTAAAGAGACTAATACTGTGACTACCTCTTCACCAGAGATTCCCAGAGTAAAATCTTTAGAACAGTCATTATTGGTAGAATTAGAAATTCTTGGGGCCCACACTCAACCTGATGAACTGGAAACTTTGGAGGAGAAAGAAATCCATCTGCACAACCTTCAAAAATTCTAATGCAGCCCACAGTTTGAAAGTTACCACACTGCAGCACACTGTTACTTAGAGATTTAATATACAGGATAAGGTGTGTCTGTCCCTGGGGTGTTTCTAGACTAGAAGATGTAAGAGAATTATTTTGACTGTAAGGAGAAAGTAGTAAATTCTAGGTAATTTTCTTTCATTATTATTTCTATTTTTTTGTGACCTTATCTAATTTTATCTAAATTTAGTGGTACATGTACATAATTTATAAGGTAGTATATCTACTTTCAAGGCATTCTAGGAATCTATTTGTTTACCAGACAGGAGTAAAAAAGAGCATGATAGAAGTTTTGCAATCTCATTCCTACAGACTACCATTAAAATCATTCTTTTTGGTTAGTCTGAAGCCAATCTTTAATCATTCTCTTTTCATTCTTACCTTATACTTTGGCCTTGGGTTAGGTATAAATAGTAATGTCTGAGCTAACAAAAATAGTGTGAAATTCAGGATAAGTCCAGATTCCCCAAGTTCCTCTGTCAAGGAGATGGGCCCTGTGGCCCAGCCAATGTATAAGTCACGAACCAATGCATAAAAGCACTTGACAGAGTGAAGAAAATATATTTATTGCAATTACTGCATCTTTTGCATTTTCTAAGCTAAGCTTCACACAGGCACAGAATACTAAATGTGACCATGCTGGATGTTCGAGAGAGATAATGTACTACAGAGGGTTCACCATCTAGGTGGCAAGACATTTTGTACTTATTCATAAATGGTGGAAGCAGAACAAGCCATCACTCATGAGACAAAGCTATTAGAATATGACATAAGAAAGTTCAGGACAATTACTAACACTGAGGGAACAGCGCCACTGCTGGGCTTCTGCAGTTCCTATTTGCCATGTGGTTCCCCCATGTGGAGATGAAAGGAGGTACATGGCCATGTTCTCAGTGGGTCTTAAACTTGAGCATTGTGTCCTGCAAGTTTCATTAACAATGGGAAATCAGGACAGCTTCTTTCAAAGGATAAAAGTGTCTGAGAAATCCACAGGGCTCCCTTGCCAAACAGCTCTCACCAGACAATGGACTAGTAATTCAACTGTGCTCAAGAATCGGAAACACATGGAAGGCTTCCCCTTGAAAGGCAGAAACTTTGCGAAAACACAGCAATTTCTTACATGGTTACTGAATCTAGGGAAAAGCCATTCTCCTCCCCTTTAACTGCCATATTTTAGCCATTTTTAAGGACCAGCCTGCACAACACCCCCAGATCAAGCATTCTCCAATAACTTCAAGCAGGATTCTTTTCCTTCTTAGTGGCCACACACTTATTATCTGTAGCATTAATGTCTCCATGTGATAATGTTCAGTTTAGCATTTTATTATGCATTCTGCCATCTTCTACTCTTGTTAGCACCTAATTTTTTATGTATCCATTTTTAACTATTTGTTATTAAAAGACCAATTGCTGCATGCTTTTTAGAAGTCACGGATTGTGGTTCGGGTCGGTCCTTTCTGCATTAGGAATAAATGCATTCAAAGAAAGTACTTACATATTAACTGCTTGGTTCATACTTTTCATTTGTCTCATATTTTTAAACCCTGAATAAGAAGGTAAGACTTTAGTCTGCAAAGAGAACAGACGTACGTCTTTTGCATCCATTAAAAGGTTGCTCAGGAATCAAACAGAGAGAGAAATACAGATCATTTCTAAATTCTTCTATGCTGTTCCTCATCCCATAAGGGTAAACATCATGCAGGTAGCACTCAATAACTGGCTGCATTATCACTAACCAGCCGAATGTTCAATGATTTCACATCACTTCACAACCAAACATGGAGCTCCTTTCAAGGAGTCTCCTGCCTTCTATCTCTGTCATACTACCTACTAGCTGTCTACTGGTCACAGTTTATTAGCCCCATTCCCACCTCTCTAACATGCTGATATTCAGACTGTTGTCACTGACTTATGCCGTGAGTGAACATCCCAAAGCTAGTGAAACAAGCACATTTCCAGGCCCCAGGTAGCCCTAATGCTTGGAGGCCGGATCAGGAATCTGAGTTATATCAGGCTTTCCAGAGGTTTCTAACACCTTGTCTCACAGTCCAGGTCTATTGTTCCAGACTTGCAGCCTATCTTGATCCTCAACCTCTTTTGTCCCTATTGTAGCCAGAGGGTGAACAACTCCTCATGCAGATTTTCAATACCATGCTCATCAATTATTCAAGTTTCAGCTCAGAACAGAGCATGTTCAAGCTACCCTATGAGGAAGCCCCTACCCTTTCAGTATCACCATTTCAGTCATCAGGTCTTCCTGTCTGTTTTACTTAACAACTACATGACCTATTAATTAAATCGTTTGTTGAATTCTTTCTGCTAATGGACAGATAACACTTGCATATTTATGATTCACAGTGTGTTACTTTGTTTATATATTTACAACTTAATCAATTAATTCAGGATAACTAATCCACCACCCCATATGCTGATCACTTCCTGTATGGTTAGAAATAGATTTCAAATCTGCTCCATTTGGAACTTTTAAAGCACTCAATGCATTGTAACTGACTATAATCACCAATCTGTGCAATGCACCACCCAGGTTTAGTCCTCTTGTCGAGCTGAAGACTTGGATCAATATATCCATCCTCTACATCGAATTCCTCTCCCAGCCTCTGCATCTGTCATTGCTATTATTTACATTGTAAGCAAATGAAATTACATATTTGCCTTCCTTTGGTTACTAATTTTACTTGGCACAATCCCTTTCATTACCATTGTCATGAATACGGTCTTTCCTTTTTCTCTGTGCATGTGTATGTGCACATGGGTACATGCATGTGTAGGAGTAGAAGTACACATGTGTGCATGAGCTTAAAGAGGTCTGAGATTATTCTCAGATACTGTTCTGTAAGTGTCATGCACATTATTACTGGCCAAGAACTCACCAGTCAGAGTAAACTGACTGACCAAAGAGCCCCAAGAATCTGCCTATTTCCACTTCTGCCTATCTGTCACTTGCAGTGACCTTATTGCAGGTACTCACCACCATGCCCTGATGTTTTGTCTGTTGGTTGTCTTTGTTGTTGTTGTTGTTCTGTAGTATTTTTACTAATTCCTTGGCATTTTCATACAATGTATTTCAATCATATGCACTGCCTACCCTTTTATTCCAGCTACCTCCCAACCTTTTTGAACAAGGGCTCTAGGTCTTGAACTTGGGTCCTTGTGCTTGCACAGCAAGCACTTTATCAACTGAGTTATGTCCATAGCCCAGTGCCTTACTTTCTAAGGGCTGAATATTTACATCTGAGTCATTTTGCTTTAACTACTTATCTGATGACCACGCCTAACCCAATTCCATTTTTAGCTATTATATAAAACGTTGCAATGAACATCAGAATTGAGACATCTCTTTGACATATTGATTTTAATTCCTTTGGATATGTGCCCAGAAGTAGTATCGTTAGATCATATGTTAATTCTATTTTTAGCTTTCTGAAGAACTTCCCTACTGTTTTCTGTAATTACTGCATTAATTTACATTCCCACCAACAACATAGTGATTCTCTCTTCTCCATTTTCCTGCCAATTTATCATTTTTTCCATCACAGTCATGCTAACAGATATGAGTTACTAACTTGTTATGGTTTAACATCTGTTTTCTCAATGATTTGAGGTGAAAAGGTTTTTATATTCCTGATACATATTGGTGTTTAAATCTTTTGTCCATATTTTCAATGGATCATTTGTTTGCCACTACTTGATTGTGTTCTTTATACATTTGAGGTATTTACCTATCAACAAATATTTGATTTGCAAATGTTTCTTCATAATCCCTAGGTTGTATCCATACTCTATTAATTATTCTCTTGCTATGCGAATGTTTTGTAGTTTGGTATAATTCAACTTTTTTATAAATTCATATATTTACACACATATATATCTGTTCTCTGTATTTTTGGTATTATGCAGGAAACCTTGCCAAAACAAATGTTATAGAGCATTTTCTATGTTTTCTTCTAATGGTTCTATAGTAGTAATTGGATGTTTAATTCCTCAAAGGCTGAGGTCCTATTTAGACCACATTTACACCTTGTATTTCTAATGTAACATTTGGTCTAGAACAATATTTCTCAACCTGCCCAATGTTACAACCCTTTAATAGAGTTCCTCATATTGTGCTGACACTCCCAATCATGAAGTTATTT